GCCCGCCAACCAGTGAACCAGTCGTCAGAAGATCAGAGTCCGGGGAAAGACGAGGAAGCGGAGGACCCCGCCAACAAATCCTTCCTGGGCAAGGTTAGACTTCATTTATTGATTTAAATGAATTAATTATTTTTTATTTTATTCTTATACCAACAAGGCAGCTATCTGGGGCAAAAAGTCAGACTTTTTTATGTTTCTTTCTTCCCTTGTTTTAGAAGATTTCACTCTGTTATTATATCAAACTTATTCCCTTCTCCTCCTTTTGTTTTTTTGTTTTTTTACTTTCTCTGCATCTAATGTGAAATAGAAAATGGGTGACCAGGTAACTACAAATTTACCAACACGTGTTTCCAACCCTCCCTTCAAATCCACAACAGCTCGTCATGCATCACAAATGTTCCCATTAATAAATCTCATTATGTATTTGCGTATTTACAGACACTCTTGTCTGTAAATGTTTCATCTGACAATCACTTCCTCGTGAGTTACACCATGTGAGTGGACGTGTGGCATCTATGCTGTTTTGTTTTTGTTTTTTTAAATCAAAAATTGAAGTTTCGCTTTTATTTTCTTCCAGATTAAAGCGTTTGAGAAGATGGACCATCTGGCAAGAGCTCAGAGGATCCTGGAGCTACAGGAGGCAGAAAACGCTCGAGTCAGTAGTGCTGTCTTTCTTCATGGTACAGCTGTAAACTTCAGAGCAGGAACAGACACAGCAGGCAGCTTTCAGTTGACGTTTGGCAGTTGAATCCTGTCAGATTAATAGAAAGCTGCATTTAAAGTTCCTCTTACTTCCCCGTCTGTCCTAAAACAATCCTGACATTCCCATATCCAAGTCCAGTGTCTAAAAGCATTTTCTGATGTTCAGTCAGATCCATGAAATGTACATAAAGATGGCTGTGTCCCAACATAAATTGGTTTGTGGACTCATTTTGAATCCTTGAGCATTTTGTCTTTCACCATCTTGCTGTTTTGAAACTTTTTTTCTTTTTTTAATCCACTTAAGTCTTACCTGTGAATCATCACGTGTCTACACTTGGCAATCTTTGCAAAGAACAAGTTTTTAATTGTATCAATAGGCACTTTGTTCCTGTTTCTTGGGCTGAATTTACAAAAAATCCCAAAGATAAGAGTTTGGCAGGAATCAAGTATTTTTGCACCAACAAGAGGATTCCTAAAAACCTGCCATTGGTCAGGATGAACCAAAAAACAAATGAGAAAACAGCATCTGTCATGTAAAGACATTTTGTTAAGAAATAGGAAAAAAATCCAGCAAAGACCGGAAACAGGACCTGAGAGATGCATCTGATCTTTCAGTTGATCAGCCTACTGTTCACTGAAGTTTCATCAATAATATTCTCAGTGAAAACAGTCACTTCCAAGCTCATCAGTATTGTACAAGCTCTGTATTTCCTTTGATGTTTGCATGTTTCAACATCATTTTTTTGTAAATTGTAATAGTCAGAATCTACCTTGCCTTGATTTACAAGGCAAGGTAGATTCTGACTATGTATTAATGTATAGATTTATTAATATTATTACAGTACCCCTCACAGTAGTTGAACTTTGGACTGCAGCGTCTGTCCTCCTACTATTTACTCTAAAAAAGCAGCACTCCAGATTAGAGATGGACCGATCCGATATTAAGTATCGGTCCGATACTATCATCAGAACCTGTACTGCCTGACGAGGTGGGCGTGTCTGCCGATAGACACTCTTCTTTTCCCCAACTTTGTTAATCCATCATCCTCACTGTTAAAATATCTACTCCAACCCCTGTGACCCTTCTCTGTGTGCCGTGTGTTTGTGTAGAGGCCTCTCCCTGAACCCCGTGTACGTATGAGAAGAGAGGTGAGCAGAGAGCCAAGCCCTCCCCCTTCTTTCGTCCCTGAACCCCCAAAGGTGAGAACCTCTCCCTGTTTTTCTCCCATCAGACATCACTGTCGCTACACTTTCTTGTGGTCTCTCAAGCTGCATCTCAATTTAAAGTCTTTAGACTTTTCAGTTCTTGGCAAGACTCGAAGTACCATCAGATCTGCTTCAAACAAAGCTGGAAATGTCTGAGGGTAGAACTGTCTTCTTTGGACTTCATTTAGTGCCTGTGTCCATTTTCAGAACTTTTTCTTGATAAATAACAAAAACTCTAATCTAGATGAATAAAGTTGCCCTTCTATACATCAGTTAAGAGTGCATCCAATATAGGAGGATCTATTTAAATTGCCTCATTTGGTACTTCCTCTGCAAGCCGCTTTGGAACCCACCTGCACCTTGTACTCCTCCTCTAATTGATGTTTCTTTCCACATATGCACATATGTACCTGCAAATATAAGGGACTGAAGATGAGGGGGAAAAAACACCTTTTGTTGCCTAAAGCAGCTGTGACTGAAATAAACTTTCTCACACTAAGCCGATAAAAATGTTCAAAACTCCTGCCTGCTTTATATTTGGAAGTGGCTCTTCCTTAAAAAACAACAAACCACATCCTGTAGTTGAGCAAATGATCACAAATGGTTCTTTTTTTTTTTTTTTTTTGTTTCAGGTTCGTGCTCAGACCCGAACTGACTCCACGCGGAGCTACGAGTCAC